TATGTATGCATTTAATAATTGAGTTTTATAAATAAAGAAAATATAATAAATCGTGAAATTTTGTACACATGTTCTTGAAGGTATTAGAATAAACAGAGGATACTTTTTATTAAAAAAAAAACAATATTTTTTTTATAAAAAGCAAAAAAATAACGTATCAACATTTTGCTAATTCAGCACCATCTAGCCAGTAATGAAGTTATTTAATGGATACGACGCGAGCGAAGCCACGGGTAAAAGTTACTTATAAACATTTTTTAAAACTTAGTATATAAGTTATGGAATAGTGGAGCCTCCAGCTTGAGTGGCACAGGCATTTTATGTTTAAAAGGAAAATTCAACAATAGTATAGAGTTTTGTAAACATAGTGCACTCCAAACCAAGTAAGGACTTATGGAGCTGCTGAAGGCCCGCCTGACATATATAATTTTGCCATACTGACTGAAATTTTATATGTATACTCGGTAGGTCTGAGAACGCTGTTCCTTCTAGAAACCATCTTGATAATTTGCCATTTGCCAAGATAGGCTGACTTGGCTACATGTTCTTCTTATCATCCTCCACTGGTGCCCCCCAGCGGAAGCGGGTGCATTCATCATCATTTGCTTCTTCCTTATCCCATTTATTTGGTATCGGCGTAATATGTAATGTATTCCATTATCATCCATAAAAAAAACAACTAAGAATGCTTTGCAAGACCACACCGTCTTGTAACCGCGCGTATCTTGGGCTCCGTGCCTTCTTAACTATTTCTGTATGTATGACACTACAGGTAATTGTTTGTACACATCGTCAGTCTTCATAGGACGGCCGATTATCTTCCCATATGTTTTGCCAAGTCAATCAATTTATGTTCATTCTCAATCAAATCAGAATATTAACTTGATTTATATAGATCTATCACAGGCATTAAGCTAAATCTATCGTCAGATTGGAATGTAGTTTTTTTAATTACTCGTTTGTTGCACTTTTCAAAGGTAATCGTATATAGGAATATATATTTACTTACTTTAATTAAATAGATTATGATTTTTTTTGTAGTTACTCGTTGTTACATTTCAAAGGTGATTGTATACAACTTACATAGTTAAATTAAACTGGATTTCGAAAAGGAAAAAACACCGCAATAATAATAAATTAACTTATATATAAAATGAGGTACTCCATACGTAAAAATTTGACGTGGTCATTATATATACGTTTTATATTTATTTACTGAGTTCCAGATATTTCGATAGTGTTTCAACCGATCATGGCGGTAGAAACACAGTGTATGTTTCAACTTACCTAAACTTAATTTACATTTATTTGTCATTGCATTCCACGGTAACTACATAAACCAGAGAATAGTTGCATCATCATCCGGTTGCAACTTTTAATATATTATTGTGAAATATTTACTTAAAGACACTCTTCTGCCGGTATATTCAGGAAATCAAAATATCTATTAATGTCAGTCTATTATGTGGTTGTAGCCCCTCATGCATAAACGAAATATCTCCTTTGGAAAGTTTACACTCTTTCCCGAGGAGATAAAAACCACCGCTCCTAAGAATATCCTTCAATTCTTGTCCCTGACGAGTCTAGGTAGCGAACTTTGAAAAAGGGCGAGCACAATAGATCTATGTAGGTCGCAGTGCTACAGGTGCTACAAACGTCAGGCAATAGTCCACACAACGAAATAAAAAAAAAATTGGTCTATTAGACTCTTATGTATCAAATCTACCGTCAGTTCGAATAACATTTTTTAGTCAGTTAAAATAACATTTTTTACAATTTTCGTCTGTCTGTCTGTTTGTTCAGGCTAATCTCTGAAATAACTGGACCGATTTTGACGGGACTTTTTTTGGCTGGTAGCTGATGTAGTAAGGAGTAACTTAGGCTAATTTTATTTTAGAACAGTAGAGTTAATTCCACGTGAACGAAGTCGCGAATGGTGCAACTAGTAAAGCATACAAAACCAATCCGTGTGACAAGTTGTTTGGCTACATACATTTCTGTCGCAGTCGTCACTAATCGTCACGCACACCTCTACTATACTGTACTACAGGAGTAGCAACCTTGCCAAGATCTGAGTTGGCTGCCAAAGCCACGTCCGCAAGAATGTCATGTGGCTATTTTTACACCCGGGCGAAGCCGGGGTTTACTAGTTGTGTTATGTGGTTTCACTCTGTGACGGTCTCTGTGGTTTAGTGGTTTAGCATTGCACTTTATTCCGATGATCGTGGGTTCGATTCCTCGAACTGTGAGAAATTTGTATTCATATTGATTGTTTGTATTAATTAGGGTGTTTTCTATGTATAATATATTATGTATTATACAAAAATAATCTAAGTATTTGTATGTAGGGAGGGGACGCCCTAAGAAAAGATGGATTGTGTGAAAGATGATATGAATAAAAGAAGAGTATGTTCAGATATGACGACCGATAGAGAGCAGTGGAAGAGAATGACATACGGCGCCGACCACAAATAATGAGATAAAGGCAAGGCAATGATGAATCTAAGTATTTATAGCAGTTGTCTAGTAGCTATAATTTTATTTATTCATTTATTTCAGGCATCATCAGGCCAGGCCCATATCATAAATACCTTATAGACTAACATACATATCTAAATATATATAACTCAAAGTTGACTGACATAGTGATCTATCAACGCACAGCCCAAACCACTGGACGGATCGGGCTGAAATTTGGCATACAGGTAGATGTTATGACGTAGGCATCCGCTAAGAAAGTATTTTGATTAATTCTCCCCCCAAGGGAATAAAATAGGGGATGAAAGTTTGTATAAAACTGGGCAATTTTAGACCGATCGCGGCTGAGACTTTGCATGCATCAAGGTACTATGACTTAGGCATCCCAGAATGGATTTTGTTCATAAATTCCACTCCTAAGGGGATAAATTAAAGCAAGCGAAACCGCGGGCAAAATCTAGTATAATATAATATTTAAAAACTAATATATTGATATTGTCTGTGTGATCACGGCACTGAAGACGACAATCTGCCACGGTCCACACCTTTCGGCCTGTAGTCCTCTTTCATGAAGGTGGGCAGCAAGTTGTGGCCAGGGCCACAAACGCTTTGAAACTCACGTTGTGACTCGACTCCAGCTGCGTCACCCTCAATATCAGGTTACTCTTGGTACGGATATAATCGACAATGTCCTGCTCCTATAATACAAGCTCTGCTTATCTTGGGACTAGATGGCGTAGTTTGAATTGTCTTAGATTATTGTTATTATCCACTCGTCATCATAAGGTAATGCGCCCAACCTCGTTCCCCAACCTACAGAATCGTCATCCAGTCCTAAGCTCAGCAGAGCTTGTGTCATAGGTAATACACAACTGATTTAAATACTTTTTTTTCTAAATATGTACGTATTTACCAGGGATGTTAAGGAGCTCCGTAACCGTAACCGAAACTATCGGATATCCGATATAAAAAATATCCGTAGCCGTAACCGAATCCGAAATAAAAGTTTCGGATAATATCGGATAGGGACGGAACCTAATTGAGATACGTTATGTAACCATTTTATTAGGAATTAGTATTTCATTTTTGAAATTAATATCCATAACCGAAATTATCCGAAACTAACGGATAATCCGAAATAATTTCATATCCGCATCCTTATCCATATCCGGTATAATAATCATTCCTATATCTGAAACCTATCCGTATCCGAAATTTTATATCCATAACATCCTTAGTATTTATCAAAAAAATATAAGTATGTATCATAATATACATAGAAAACACCCAGACCAACACAATCAATCATACTCATGAATACAAACGTTTGTATCGTACGGATCGAACGCGTCACCATAGGAAGTAAATCGGTGTGCTAAAACACTATACCGTCAAGGCCGTCAGTAGTCATATTTATGCATATGCTATAACATAAACAAACAATCAACTATAGCTTTTGGCGATATTAGAGTTAATTACGAGCGTGCAGGGACTTCATACCAATTACGTATTATTGTTTTAAACATACTAGCTGATCCCGCGACTTTGTGCCCTTATAACTTATATATTTGTGTTCATAAACACAAAAAATTGACGGCCTCTGTGGTCTAGCGGTTTAGCACACTGCCTTATTTCCGATGGTCGCAGGTTCGGTTCCTTGCACGGCATAAACATGTATCAGTTGTCTAGTTACCCATAACACAAGCTCTATAGCTAGCTTAACTTGGGTGTAGATGGCGCTGTGCGAATTGTCTTGAGATTATTATTATTACAAATATAATATCATCATCCCTATATAGTATAAAATGATGTCGCTGTCGCTGTCTGCCCGTCCGTATGTATGCTTAAATCTTTAAAACTACGCAACGGATTTTGACGTATTTTTTTTAAACACATAGAGTGATTCAAGAGGAAGGATTATATATATATATGTATATAATACATAATCGCCAACAATAAACTGGCTTTAAAAAAAAGTAATTCAATTGAGTTTCTTGCCAGTTCTTCTCAATTGGATCTATATACTGAATTGGATGGTAGGGAAAAAATCTTATATATATAAAATTCTCGTGTCACAATGTTAGTTACTAATTATCATACTCCTTCGAAACGGCTAGACAGATTTTGATGAAATTTTATATGCACATTCAGTAGGTCTGAGAATCGGCTACTATCTATTTTTCATACCCTTAATCGACAAGGGTTCTCCTAATCCCAACGATTTTGTTTTTTATTTTTTGGTAATTTTTTTTTATTTTATTATGATTTGGCATTAAAAATATAATAGAATCCTAAATTTTCACCCTTCTACCACCAACACCTATTTTTAAATAGCGATATTAGTTCTTAACTTTATATGGCAAAACAACGTTAGCCAGGACAGTTAGTTATAATATAAAAAAAATTACGTTCATAAGCGGCTAAAATGTCCTACAAGAATAAATGATTTTCTAATTTGAATGTACCATTTTTGATGATGTTTAATTTGAAATTTAACTAGAAATGTCAGTCAAAATACTCACTGATATCCGTAACGTCGTTCCACTTCATGATAACGTCTGTGCAATAGTCACCTGCAATAGACAGACAGACGTACACGTCAATAAAATGTTACTATTTATATAATTCCTTAATTTATAACCATTCTTACATTGCAACAAATAATCTCAAGACAATTCACACAGCGCCATCCAGACCCAAGTAAAGCTAGCTAAAGCTTGTGTTATGGGTACTAGATAATTGATAAAAATACATAGATTTTTTCCTAACTACATACATATTATATTTATCATTACATAGTATATATTACAGTATATACATTACATACATTACAAAGTCGCTGTCGCTATCTGTCCCTATGTATGCTTCAATCTTTAAAACTACGCAACGGATTTTGAAGCTGCGTTTTTAACAGATAGAGTGATTCAAGAGGAAGGTTTATATATATAATACATATAATATATACCCGTGCGAAGCCGGGGCGAGTGGCTAGTTACATAGTATAAAACAAAGTCGCTGTCGCTGTCCGTCTCTATTTATGCTTAAATCTTTAAAACTACGCAACGGATGTTGAAACGAACTTTTAAATAGATATAGTGATTCAAGAGCAAGGTTTATATGTGTAATACATAATAATAATAATCTCTGGACAATTCACACAGCGTCATCTAGACCCAAGTTAAGCTAGCTAAAGCTTGTGTTATGAGCAATAGATAACTGATACCTATACATAGACATTTTTTTTTTGTAAATACATACATATTATACATAGAAAACACCCAGATCGATACAAACAATCATACTCATGAATACAAATGTTTGTGCGTGCGAGGAATCGAACCCGCGACCATCGGTCGTAAAGCGGTGTGCTAGACCGCTAGAACACCGAGATCGTCATACATGCGAAGCCCGGGTGGATAGCTAGTTATAAATGCAAGTAATTACGATTATTACAGACGTAGTGCATTGTAAGAACTCAATATACTGTACGATACACATTATACTTGATGATTTCCGTTACTCTGTCTTCTCGGGCGCATACCGTCAACTTCTGCGCTTAACTGATACGGCTCTAACAGGGTTGCCAATGATTTTTGATGTAGATTCATATACGACTTTGCACATAGACAACTTTGGTCAAAGTCACTTTGTGTCTTTTAACCAGAATATTCAAGTATTGTATTTTTTTAGTTAGCAAATTTATAGAAATAGAAATAGAAATAATCTTTATTCAAATAAACTCATTACAATCACTTTTGAATAGTCATATTTTGATTCTACCACTCATTCGGAATGCAGAATTTATGAACACCGAATACCCTGACGACCCTGCCCTGACCGTACTGGCGAGGATTGACCAGACGGGTCGACTAAATAAATGGAACTAAGGCCAGGCAGAAGAAATTTACTCATAAATAATTGTGTATCGAAATCTCGTAAATTTTAGTACGAGAACGACAATGTGTCGGTATTACCGAAGACCAAAATTCTCGTACGGTTGACAGCCCTGATCCGTAAACTGAATATTAACATATAATGTAATTTTTTACAACTGTGAGTGTGGGAAACTACAATGGTTGCTCATTTAATTAAAATAGAAGATCATACAAAGACATTGAAAAATATATTCAAACGACGTTTAGCTGTGGTGTAGCGGTTTATAATCGCCGGTTCGATTCTCGGGCGAAACAAATTTGTATCAATATGATATGGGTAAAATAGAGTTCAAAAATAACAGTGGTGTAGCGGCTTATAATCGCCGGTTTGATTCTCGGGCAAAACAAATTTGTATCAATAAGATATGGGTAAAACGAAGTTTAAAAATGACAGTGGTGTATCAGCTTATAATCGCCGGTTCGATTCTCGGACGAAACAAATTTGTATTAACAATATAATATGGGTTTGTATTTACGAACAAAATATTTCAACGGAAGATAAAACCTAATCTACAGTATTCGAAACGACTCAGTAAAGAGGCTTGCTTAGTTAAATTTATGTGTTTATAACTATTTTTTAATCATACATCCTTACTAATATTATAATGCGAAAATAACTCTGCCTGTCTGTCTGTCTGTCTCGCTTTCACGCCAAAACTACTGAATCGTTTTAAATGAACGAGCGGTAAATTAAAAAAAATGTAATGACTATTCAAAAGTGCTTCAAAGTAAGTTTATTTGAATAAATGATTTTCTATTCTATTCTATTCTGAAATTTAGTATACAGATAATCTAGACCCTAAGAATTCCTTTCTATAGGCTATTTTTAAAGTGAAAAAAAGGGTGTAAAGATTTGAAAGGAGGGATGAAAGGTTGTATGGAAGTATGATCAAATGTAAATAAATGTGACATTCAAAGTTTATATAAATTTTACCCTTAAGAGAGTGAAATAAAATAGGGGATGAAAAATGAAATTCCTCATACGTCGTCTATTCTATGGGGACGAGGTCGCGGGCAGAGCTAGTATGTATATATATCTACAATGACACAAATAAATAATATCTATTATGTGATAAAGAATGATACACAGAACAAACAAACAAACACACCCACTGAATCAAATCAAAAACAACAAATCGTCAATTAAATAGAAAAATGTCATATTTCAAAATTACAAACTAGAATTGCCTCCTGTTATATAAGTAAATTAAATTAACCACGCCGTCTTAATGATTATCTAAATACTTTTAAAATGATATATAATACTTCTGCGTAAATTGAAAACTTTAAAGGAAAAAATAATTTAAATAAATTTTAAAAAATATTACATGCTTGTCTTGTAAAAAAATTACATTTTGAATATTGCCATTTTTCTATTTAACAGACGAAATATATGTTTTTGATGTTTTCAAAAAAATAGTATTATAAATCAATCCAAAAATCCAAACAAAAGCCAATTAGACAAAGCACTTTTTAAAAATAGAGTTACACGTTTTGCATAAGGACCACTGTTAAACGACGCATCGTAGGTCTATCTTTAGAACAGAGACAGTCTAGACACAGACAGTGGTCTATATCGACCCCCAGGGGTCTATGACAAACTGCAGGGGGTCTATGACAGCGGTTATCTTGTCGTTTTTAACACTAAACTTTACTACAGTTAGAAATTTACAAAAAATCAATACCAGGTAGGAATGGGGGATCTACCCAAAACCGAAAAGTATGGTAAGGGGTCTACGACACAAAAAAGTTCGGGAACCTCTGGTCTAGACAGTGATTGTCAACGTGAGGCCCACGACTCACAAGGGGGCAATTTGATTGTGAAGGAAAGCAATTTCAAAAAGGTACTCTATTAACATTATTCAATATAATAATCTCAGGACAATTCACACAGCGCCATCTAGACCCAAGTTAAGCTATCTAAAGCTTGTGTTATCGGTACTAGACAACTGATACAAATACATAGATAATTTTTTGTTTCATAAATATGTATGATATTATATATAGAAAACACCCAGACCGATACAAACAATCATACTCATGAATACAAATGTTTGTGCCGTGCGAGGAATCGAACCCGCGACCATCGGTTGTAAAGCGGTGTGCTAGACCGCTAGACCACCGAGGCCGTCTAAGTATATGGAATGTAAATTTCATTTTTCATTACATATTTTGAAAATTACTTATTACCAATTTTCTCTTCCACTGCTCTCTATCGGTCGTCATATCTGTACATATTCTTCTTTTATTCATATCATCTTTCACACAATCCATCCATCTTTTCTTAGGGCGTCCACTCCCTTTACATCCATTTCTTTTCTTTACATCATTTTTAGTTTCTTAAGTGACTAATTATGTATGACAAAAAGGTTGTTAAAAGCGAAGTATTTATATCAGTTATCCAGTACCCATAACACGAGCTCTGCTTACCGTAGGACTACGGACTCTGTGTGATTTGACTGGGCTTATTTATTTATTTCTTTAATAATAGTTTATTAATAGTGCTAAACCAGGTTTATCTTTTATTATTATAATAAAAGATAAACCTGTACATAAAAATAAAATTAGTATTTGGTTTGTTTGGTCGCAGAATGAATGGTACAAAATATATAAATGAGAAATATTTTATTGAATTGTTAGTAAAGGATAGTAGCCCCATTGTTAGCAATGTACCATTTCAGGTCGACCTCCACGCGGTCCTTCCTAATAACAACCGTAGTCCATTTTTAGTTTAATAGTGACTTTTGGGGATAGAGCATTGTTAGTAATGTAGACTGATGATATTATTGCCAGCCATGTACCATGTCAGGTTGACCTCCACGCGGTCCCCGTTAATAACCATCGTAGTAAATTTTTAGTGAATTCACCACGATGGGTAAACTGACCTGACTTCCTGCTCATTCTATCACCCATTGGTGCCCCGCCAGGGTATACCATTAGGCATACGAGTATACTCATATCTCACTCTACATACTTTCCATTATAATCCCTTACAAAAAAAAAATTCTTAGTGATATTCAACAGTGATTAATATTTATTGATAAGGGCAGCGAGTCCGCGCATCTAATATTGGGATTTGTCTACGTAATCTATACATCTATATATATATATATATAAATAAAATTGCAGTGTGTGTTTGTAATATTGAAATAACCGTTTTTTACTACATGCATAAGGCTATAAATACGGTGCATACATAAAAATAACATTTTTTATAATTTTTGTCTGTTTGTTCCGGGTAATCTCTGGAATGGCTAGACAGATTTTGACGGGACTTTTATTGGTAGGCAGCTGATGTAATAAGCAGTAACTTGACTTTTATTTTAGAACAATAAGATTAAATTCCACGCGGACTAAGTCGCGGTGCAGCTGATATCAACTGAAATGTAAATGTTTCTGTAATATTAACCTCATAAATATTTATAACCCCCGAATATCGGGGACATTTATTTAGCGGAATAACGATATGTACCTATGTTTCATCCTAGACATAACAAACAGGGGGAATGGTATTGTTAGTAGTAATGTGGTCTAATAACTAGTCTAGTCTAATAACCCCATTTTTTTTCTGTGGATGATAATGGAATGGTGCACCCGCCTGCCCTAACAGTTTACGCTGGCAGGGCAACAGTGAAGGA